GATAAAACTAGTTAATTTCTTAAGAACGTTCCTACGAGTTTTGTTTAAAAATTATAATTTTGCATCATCTATTCGCGAAATTTCTACTACGTTTAACAAATGTTTATTAGATGATTAAAAAAAAATTGTTACATTCTTTGACTCATAATAATATCATTTTTAGGATCTCATAATACACTATGATATATAACCAGAAAGCATTAATATTGTAGAAATTTATTATTATGGCATATGAAATCAATCTTAAGTATATAAATTTGATGATACAATCACTTGTCACATGGATTTTAGAATCGATTTTAGTTTAGTTTTGGAGTCTTCATATCAAATTCAGATTTTTTTTTTTTGAACCTTAAAATTCAGATTTGAATTGATATGTATACATATAACTTACTCCTTAAGTAAACAACTTTTAAAAATTAAAAGTGAAAAGAGAAACAGAACTTTCCAAAACATTATTGAACATGTTCTGATACTTCACTAAGCATATTGAAAAAGATGGCATAATCACTTTAATAATATAACACACACATCTTATCTATAAATATCATTTTCTCCATTATTTAACGTATGTATATATCATAATTATATATTTTACAATTATATGCTAAATGCGAGCTTGTGTACGTCCCCAGTCTCACTGCATAAAAAAACTAAGAAAAGAAATGTTTAAATACATTCTTAATAGACAATTACGTATTTATATAATCCAATTTATTTAAGTCCCGTATTTTTTGTTCTTAAGTTCGATCACTCGATCAATTACGTGTTAATTATCATCACGAAGTTAATTAAGAAATCGAAACAATCGTACTGATTTATCATTCATGGAAATGTAAGTACATCACTATTCCCTTAGAATAATTAGCTAAATTTAATTTAAATACCTCGATTTAAAATTATGTCACATTTGAAAACATATCAGAAAAACAACATGCGATGTCTATGTAATCAGAAACAATGGGGGGTCTTTTCTAGTCGCATTCTGGCATTAGTTGATTATTTTATTTTTCTTGTTAGGTTGATGTTGAAACAAAATATAGAATTAATTTAATGTCTGTTTACTGTTTAAGTGTTTACCACTGTTTCGAAATAGTCTTAAAATAAAAAAATCATAGAAATACTGGGAATAGTTTATAGTTTCAATATATCAATTCATCAAGTTTAACATTGGTTGGTAGGTTCCAGTTCATGCTCTTAAATAGGCACATTGCCCACATATAATATATATGGATTTCAAGATTTATATGTAAATGTTTTAAAATGTACTATAGGTTTCGAGCCGAAATAATTTAGCGTACTATTCATAACCCAATTAATTCCTATCAACATTGTTTTTTTTATATATTGTAATGTTATTTTTAAATGAATTGCTGAAATATAATGGCACAAAGATATAATTTTTAGATTGAAGTTCTTAAAAAAAAATCATGTCGACGAACAACACAAGCTCAATAACATACGACGAATGACACACGCAATTAAAATTGGAACACAACAAAAATAAACAAATAAATTTTGGTCTTATGTAATAACATTCTAAAAGATTGGTAGGATTATTATGTTCTGAATTGCTTTTTCAAAAAAAATCATGTCGACGAAATAACAAAAAGTTCACTAACAAACGATGACTAACGCAAGCAATTAAAACTAGAACACACAAAAAAAAACGAAATAAAGTAATTTTATTCTTATGTTAAATAAATGAATCAATGACGCGTGTCCCACCAATAATCACCACCACTCTCTTTGCATACTTCACAAAGACTCTCTCTCACTCATTCACTCATATATATACACTTACATTATTTGGAATGTAAAATCAAAAGTAAAGAGAACAACAACAAGAACAAATGGGATACGAAAGGCTCGAACCATCCAAACCAACTGGTTCGGTCACCACGACCACATCTCCTCCGGCTCCGAACCACCACCAAATCTCCACGTCAGCACAACCGGAGACCACCAATCGGAGAAGAAAGAAGCTTCTTATCTCCTCCATCGTCCTAGCCTTCGTACTTATCCTCGCCGCCGCGATCTTTGCCGGAATCCGAACACAAGTCAAGTCCGGCCAACACGTTCCAGGCCTAGCTAGGAAACCAAGCCAAGCAATCTCAAAAGCTTGCGAGTCAACTCGTTACCCCGAGTTATGCGTTGACTCACTCATGGACTTCCCCGGCTCACTCGCCGCTTCCTCCACTAAAGATCTGATCCACGTGACGGTGAACATGACGCTACACCATTTCAGCCACGCTCTATACTCATCTTCTGCCTTCTCCTTCATCGACATGCCTCCACGTGTCCGCTCCGCATACGACTCTTGCCTCGAGCTACTAGACGATTCCGTTGACGCGCTCTCACGGGCTCTCTCCTCCGTCGTTTCCTCCGGTACTCAAGCTAAGCCACAAGACGTGACCACGTGGCTAAGCACGGCTCTTACGAACCAAGACACGTGCGCGGAAGGATTCGACGGCGTCGACGACGGCGGAGTAAAGAATCAGATGACGGCGGCGCTAAAGAATCTCTCTGAGCTTGTGAGCAACTGTCTTGCCATCTTCGCCGCGAACGGCGACGGAGATGGTAACGATTTCGCCGGAGTGCCGATACAGAACCGGAGACTTTTAGAAGTTAGAGAAGACGAGAAATTTCCGACATGGCTCGAGGAGAGAAGTGAGCGTGAGTTACTTGAAATGCCGGTTTCGCAGATTCAAGCTGATATCATCGTATCACAAGACGGTAACGGAACGTGCAAAACGATATCGGAAGCTATCAAGAAAGCTCCGGAACACAGTCCTCGCCGGACTATTATCTACGTAAAGGCCGGAAGGTAAAATTACTGTTTTACCCTTTTCAGATTTTCGCATTTACTTTACATTAACTGTTATGTCCGTGAATGATTAAAGTAGCATTTGTACGGAAAAAGGGGTTAGTAATTATTGCGTTTTATCTCAGTGAAAATCTCATCACTGTTTATGCTTTTTTTGGAAGGTACGAAGAGAACAACCTCAAGGTCGGTAGAAAAAAAATTAACTTGATGTTTGTTGGAGATGGGAAGGGTAAAACGATCATTTCAGGAGGGAAAAGCATATTTGACAACATTACCACTTTCCACACGGCCACCTTTGGTAAGGTTTTCTTTCACCTTTCCCTTTCCTTTTTCACTTTATGAACATTTTCCAAATAATACGACAATTATGATAAATAGTTAGAAAGTAGGGTTAAACACAGCATTACTATTGCTATTAAACAATCCATTAAACAAAGACATGAATTATATAAAATAATAAGACCCTTGTATTTGAGGAAGATCGAAAATTAAAAGATCTTTTCAGTGCCATAATAGAATTTTTTTTTTTTTTTTGAAAAAGATAATAGAAAAATTAAAAGATCCTTTTGTGGTAATTACAGAATAAAATCATGACAAAGAGCTTCACGGCGGTCAACATTTATGATATAATATATATTTATTTATTAAAATTAAAATTATTTGACTGAAGATTGGTATATAAATATTAAGTTACGATGAAAAAAAAAAATATTTCGAGGAAAGTTCTTGGAATCAGATACGTGAAGGGGGGCCATGAGCTAGCTGTATAGATTTCGGATTGATAGGATTTAAAGTGTCCGATTGATTCTCTAGAATCAGACCATTTACAAAATATTAGTTGTCTTTTACCACTTGTGTTTATTCTTCATATGGATAATGGACCACTAAAGAAAGCTAGATTTAATTAAACTTTGTAAATAGTAATATGTACACGAACCAGAAATAAATGTTAATATTATGGACCACCGAATTTTGTAATCGTTTTTCTGTTTTAACCATTTTTGAACACAAAGAGAATTAAAAACAAACGTCATTCACCCATTTTCTGCATTTCTACCACTTCGGCTAAAAAAAAAAAAAATCCTCCATAGCACTAAATTTTTATCTACTAACAACTTTTTCTCACTCATGGTTGTTGATACCTAATATGTAGCTCTTAGGTAAATTTAGTTATTTGTTAAGAAAAAAAAGCAGGATCTTTTCTTCAAAAACCTTTGAAACAAATTTCAAATATAATAATATCAAAATATGCAAACAAATTTCATTCTTCCGTATTTAATTTGAAAAAAAACAAATTACAGAAACTTAAATGTGATATGATCTTTTAGTAATTTGTAGCTTGGTTGCTGTTTTAAAACAAAATTGCCTACCTCAAATAAGTTTTATTTTATATTATTTGGGTTGACTTTTCAATTTGATTAGATTGAATTCGGTTAGGTAACAACACACTTACACTGAATTGGACATCCTATGTGCTGCCGCTTATCCAACAAAACTCACATGCATCTTGTTGTAATTCTTAATGTACAATAAATGCATACTACTCAAATCAAATCAAGTAATAAAACATTCTTTTGATATAACAAATTTTACATTACATTTATCTAATATTCATTCCTAAATACCCACTTCCATGTACGTAAATCAGTCAATGCATTTCCCCCATAGGTATATACAAATATACATAGACAATTTGGAGGATATGAACATCTAAAAGGATATACAAATTCACATGGAACGTATCTTAAGGGTTAGAGGTAGGCCGCGCAATTACTGACCCACATATTTGTATATATATATACATGCATGATGGAAGACAGAGAAGAGTTGCATTTATTTATACATATAGTTGGAGGTGGGTCATGTCTCATTATGTGGTTTGATGCATTATAGACCACTAGTTGCATATGACATTTCTAGGTAAAGAGATTTCTAAAAATTCAAGTACTTGATTTTAAGTGTATATATTTATATATAAATCCAACTTATTTGTTTTACAGCATTTGTTGCATCTATATTTAAACACAAAACACATTTATATTAATAAACAAAACTGTGAAGACAAAACACAAACCTAAAAAATTAACAAACGGGTATATCATAGATGTATGTAATGGATGCTGAGGGTCATAGCTTTAATATTTGTATATTGTTAAAGTATTGCTGCATTTGATGATGAGTACTTATATTGTTTTTTATAATTTTTTTTTTTTAAATATAGAGATTGTAAATACAAAACGTGATTGTGTTTTTCTGTTTTATTTTTTTCCCAGCCGCGACAGGAGCTGGATTTATTGCAAGAGACATTACATTCCAAAACTGGGCTGGTCCAGAGAAGCACCAGGCGGTTGCTCTCCGCATCGGAGCTGACCACGCGGTAATCTATAGGTGCAATATAATCGGTTACCAAGACACGCTCTACGTTCATTCAAACCGTCAATTCTTTCGCGAATGCGACATTTATGGTACAGTCGATTTTATCTTCGGCAATGCAGCCGTAGTGCTACAAAACTGTAGCATCTACGCACGTAAACCCATGGCATTTCAGAAAAACACAATCACGGCTCAAAACAGAAAAGACCCGAACCAAAACACCGGAATATCGATACATGCGTCTAGGGTTTTGGCTGCAGGCGATCTCCAAACGTATCTAGCGAGTAACAACACTAACGGTACTGTCCAGACGTATCTAGGTCGACCGTGGAAGCTATTCTCCAGGACGGTTTATATGTTATCGTTTATCGGTAACCATGTACACACTAGAGGATGGCTCGAGTGGAACACAACATTTGCTTTAGATACTTTATATTATGGAGAGTATTTGAACACTGGACCCGGGTCGGTTCTTGCGCAACGTGTGAATTGGCCAGGATATCGGGTCATCAATTCGACGGCCGAGGCAAACCGGTTTACGGTGGCGGAATTTATATATGGTTCGTCATGGTTGCCTTCGACCGGGGTTTCGTTCTTGGCCGGATTAAACATTTAGGTAGAGAAAAAATAAAATAAAATGCTTTTGTTTACGAAGATTTGTTTCATTCTTACGTCCTTATATTAATGGGCATATATATGATTAATCCTATATATATCTTTTAACTTTTTAATTGTATGATCTCCGGAGATATTATTCAATAAGATTGTGACTCGAGGATAATTTTACAATATTCGCTTTTTTATAATACATATGATTCAATTCGATGCGATCAAGTAACCGATGACTGATACAAAACTAGTTTAAGTTTACATAAAATTTTAAAATGTTTACTTTGCTGTTTAAAAAGAAAATACTATAGAGTCTTACTTTAATGTTAGGACGAAAAGTCCAGCGACATTAATTTTTGAACCAATTGAATGTTTTGAAAAGTATATAAGAAACTATTATATTCATGGTCTAAATGGTAACCGCAGAATTTTCGCTGAATTTACAGAATTTGCTGAATTACTGTTGATTTCTTGCA